ATGGTCCAAAAGGCAATTATTCTACATACTTTGGGGGTCCAGGTAGGGTCATGCAGGATTTTGAGTATCCAATTCCCTTAGCTCTAAACCCTAAAGCAGGATTTTGAGTATCCACCGTATTACCCTTAGATGTGTTTTGTCGCAAGCTCCACCTTGCTTCTCACATGCCCTCAACGTTTGGATATGGGTCGTGGGCTACTTTCCCAGGATTCTGAGAGTGAGATGCTGTTTAGGAAGACCCCCCACCCTGTAATAGTGGCATAATTCGGAATGTAAGAGGGCCCGAATACAATCCTTATTCTCCCTTGTAGTCACTATTTCTGGCTAATCATTCCACCTAAGAGATGCTAATAGAATTCTGGTTGCAGGTGCTTTCGCTGTACTCACGGCCTCGGAACTCAGCTTGACTTTGCTGCTGTCAACTGTACAGATTGCACTTCAGGGTTCAGGGAGTTGAGCCATGCCTGTGGGCCAACATTGTAGTCTACCAAAACAAGGGTTTAGGGTTTAGGGTTTAGGGTTAGATCCCAAAATATTGTAATTCTTATTAATCATGGGGCCCCCAAAATGGTACCCCTTATGTTGGGAAACCCCCACATGTCAACAGACGCGCCAGCAGTGTTAATGCCCTGAGTCCTCCTGCAATCTTAAATGCTGCTGTCCTGTCTCTGAACTTGCGCGCGCGGCTTTGTCCCAAATGGGCAATGTTGGCTGCTGAGTTGTTGCTCGATGTTCTTGGTGAAGTTGCTTAGATTCGTTGCCGTTGGCTCATAGCTTTTTTGGGACGTTGCTCAGATTTGTTCATTGGCCGTCGTCTTGCTATTTCCCCTTCGGTAGGTCTCAGATCGCGGACTCTCATAGTAGTCCCCCTTAAGTAGATAGAATATGGGGTATATGGGGATCTTATTATGATATACCCGCAGCCATATTCTATCTACTTAGGGGGGGACTGTAGTCCTGGCAGTACCCAGTTTTGCCAGGATGTTCCCACGCAAAGAAGTGGCACTCACTCTCAGAATTGCTTGCCTGCTGAGGCTGCAAGAAGCTGCACAAGTAGGGATTGACCTTGCTGCCGCTGACTTGGAGGCTACCCTGCCATTTCTTGCGTTTCTGTATGTTTGTGGGAAGCGACCTTGCGTTTTCACAATTGAGTTTACCCCCCTCCCCCCTCCCCCTCCCCCCTCCCCCTTCCCTCCCGGCACACACATTGCCATGCGGCCTGAAGCCGCAGCTTCTTATTGCCAAGCATTGAACAGATTGTGCATGTGGATCAGTTGAGTCTATTGCTGCAGTTCTACTCGACTCCACGACTCTGGAGGTTTCCCTTTTCGATTAGACGAGCCCACTTGCCCAATGAAGTGCCATGGTCCTCCAGTTTCGCCTGTGCTCCTGAGCTTGATGTACTCATTGTGGCGTAAAGGTTGGAATATTTGGATTGAAGGGGTTTGGCTGGAGCCTCCGTCTACACGAAGCGAGCTGGGATTACGGCATACCCCGCACTAGGGGATCAGGAATAGGCGTGCCCCAAGTGTGTCATGCGTGGGTGTTACTTGTAAGAACGATAAGAGTAAAACACGGCGACAGCTACTGACGTCCAGTAGCCTGAGGCTTTAGGTTGAAACTGCTCGAAGCGCGAAGGCAACACAAAACGAAACAAGACCCATGACAGTATTTGAAATTAGCGGGAACGCTTGTTTCAATGCAGGTGCCCAGCTCCTACAAAATCAGTTCTGTTGAAGTTGTTAACTTCAGACGGGCATTCAATGAATTATTGTAAGGAGAAGAACAGTGGCCGATAGACCCTTGAATGGCTTGCCA